CTCAAAAATCCGTTGTCAGAGCTGCTCAGAAGTTCAATATAAATATTTTGCAACATTTTTTCCTTGGGCCTCAGCTCTCTAGTGAACTGGATGAAGCTTCCACTGAGGCTATTCATTTAGACACTGCTGAGTCACTCTGGGATTCACCTACTGTGGGCTGACCATTGTCTGCATGTCAGAAGCCAGCCTTGGCGACACCCATGCCTAGCTAGAATAGCATCCCACCCATCTGGTTCTGAGACCTGGCCTGAGAAGCAACTAACACCTTCCCCCCATTTCCTTAGTTAGTGCTTGAGATAAACATAAGAGATTCCTGATACCTGGCCTGAGAAGTAACTAACACCTATTCCTTCCCCCACTTCCTTAACACAGGAGATTACGGATACCTGCATGAGAGCAATTAATTCATCCCTCCCCCACCTCCTTTTTTCTGCTTCCTCCTTTCTCTTTAAAAACCCCTTGGTTTCAATAAAGTTGGCCTTGACAAGAAATCTGCTTGGTCCCGCTCTTTCTTTCCCACCCATTTTTTGCAGGCGTGATCCACCTCGGACTCACGAATTACCGGAACCCTGTGGGACGGGGCATCTGCAGCTCTAGCTAGGGTTTGAACATTTAGCAGGTCCTCATTTGGACTACACTTTGCAACCTTCCAGCATGATCATCAAGGGTGGTAGGTTCTAAACAAGAGTTCAGTTTGAGAAAAGACTCTTAGGCAGACTCTTCAAGGAGTCTTAGGCAGAGCTCCTCAGTAGGTGGCCCTGAGCTTTGCCCAAAGAGCATCTACCTGGAGAAATGGTCTCTATATGTCAGAGGTAAGAACAAATAGATGACCATGGGAATCGGTTGACCCCACAACTTCTTTTTTTTTATTTTTTGAAACGGGGTTTCTCTGTGTAGCCTTGGAGCCTATCCTGGCACTCGCTCTGGAGACCAGGCCGGCCTCAAACTCTCAGAGATCCTCCTGCCTCTGCCTCCTGAGTGTGGGATTAAAGGTGTGCGCCACTAACACCCGGCTGATCCCACAATTTTTTCTAACAGATCTAGAAAGAGAAAGATAAAAGAAGTAATATACATGTGTGCCCTAGGCCTGCTGGAACATTTTGGAGATTCATCCATTTGTACTTAGAGCATTGGTTGTTCTAACAGATCTTGAAAGAGAAAGATAAAAGAAGTAATATACATGTGTGCCCTAGATGAGCATGCTGGATGGGATATCTTTGTTCTGGCAAATAACCACAATCACAAACAGATGTGTGGGCTCTAGATACATAAACTAGGTAGGACAGTAGGATGGGTTTGATGTGTCACAAAAAGGCTAGAGAATCTTCACTCAGTATGTGATAACATGGCTCCATAGTGGTGGCCGGGTTGACACAGAATAACTGCGTCCAATCATGTGCAAATAAAGTATCATCTTCCACAAATGTCCCAAGATACATCAAACATTGAGGAATCCACAAGACTGTAGGATTCTCATTAATAATGTGCCAATACCCTGGCTATTGTTGCTGCTGCAGAGAGGGACAAGAAGAGACAAATCTGAATCTCATAGTCAGTAATTAAGGCAATCTCCCCATTTTGATTCATACCCAGATACAAGCCCAGACAAAATGTTCTATGAGGAGAGGCTTTTGTTGCTTGAGTACACAATCTGTTCCTTCCATTACATTTTTGGAGCTTCAGAGTGAACATGCTGGTCACTATATTCATCTGATGACACCAGAGGTCCTAGGGAACTCTCACAACAGAAGTCACTGAGAACCTTAAGGGTCTAGGATTGAATGATCAGTTTCCCAATGTTGGGGGTACTGGATGAATTGGTACACTGGGGTTTGTTCATGGTCATGGGGAGATGTATAGACCCTGGCTGCTTTAGGAATCAGAGTGCCACTAGAGATCAATAGCATTAGCTTTCCTGGAGGAAGTAGAGTACATTGAGACATTTGGAGTCTAAGGTGGTTACATAGGATGGTTAATTTTGGATCCATGATTGCAATGGAATTCCTGAGTGCACTTGGGGATATGAGGACACAGCTTGCAGACTTAACTTCCTGGCAGGATCTTGAGTCATGTGGACACCTGTTTCCAAACATGCATTGGAATCTGATTGTAGTATGGAGAAATGGGGAATATGGGGCAGACTTTACCTGGATTTGCTGGATCTTTCTCCTTAAGATTTATTCATTTACTTGGGTGGTAGTGGCCCATTCCTTTAATCCCAGCACTCTGGAGGCAGAGGCAGGAAGAACTCTGTGAATTCTGGACCAGCCTGGTCTACAAGGGCTACTTCCAGGACAGCCTCCAAAGTCAGAGAGAAACCCTGTCTTGAAAAACAACAA